TCAAGGTCCTATCATAAACCTGATTTAGCTTTCCTGGAGTTTACAAATCCCTTGTCGTGCTGTGGGTCTCATTGTTCTCTTTGGGGTTCTCATCACGGCCCGTCACCTATGACGAGGTAAGAACCTTGGTATGGAGAAGATGCCACAATCAACTATGGAAGGGTTGATTGATAAGTTGAGGATGAATGCCACGGATAATTCCAATAAGTTCGAAAAGCTGTTCAAAGAACCAGAGAGAATTCATTGTCCTAATGCTGAGGAATAATCGTCCCTTCTACAATTAGGGTTAGAGCCCTATAAATAGCTAAAACTAATCCTAACCAGAATAGGAAACTAGCAAATCAGATCCTAACCCTAATAACCACAAATTTGGGCTTCAACTAAATGAATGTTTAGCCCAAATAACACAAAAAAAACATAAGTTGAAATAATCTAAAACATTGTGAAATATCAATTTGTGGCCAATTGCGGTAAATTTGACACAAACTATGTAATTCAACCCAAGAGAGAAAAAAAAAAACTTAGCATGCAAGCCAAAACCCAAAAAGGAAAGTAATGAATTTGAGCCAAAATGCTTGCTGAATTCATGCCCAAAGTTTATGACCATTACTTACAAAGGTTAGGCTTGGCTTTGACAGAGTCTTCTAGAACTTGGATTAGGCTGATGCAAGTCTGAGGCTCACAAGGACTTCTCTCAATGGGCCTCCACGAATTTGCTTGAGTCTATATTTCTCGAATCAGCCTGTTAAGCGCTTCCTTGAACTTCTTAGCTTGAGCCCTCGTAACTGGTCCAATGGGAACTTGAATTGAATCCTTTAAAGTTGAACCTGGATTTACATCAATATTTATCTACACGACATGGTTGAGCATTTTCTCTATAGCAATATTTACTGTTACCTTTTTTGGCTACATTTACCTCCATGAATGGTTAGGCATTTTTGATAGTCATGTTTATTGTTACATCTCTTCAGTTTCTAACAATGGATAAAGGGCCTACTTTGCTAGACATACATGGCTTTGATCAATGGACAACATGCTGCATCTACACAGCTCCCAACGATGGACCAAATTTGCTATCTCATTTAACCTCCAGCAATGGGTAAAAGGTTACACCGGTTCTCAATAACAGACAAAGGGTCAAATCTGTACATACTCTATTTTACAACATCCTAGAAAATGGACAAAGAGTCAATGCAACTCGATATGATTAGGGTGAGGTCGGTAATGGTTTCAACCCTACGTGATGAGAACCCCAAAGAGAACAATGAGACCCACAGCACGACAAGGGATTTCTAAACTCCAGGAAAGCTAAATCAGGTTTATGATAGGACCTTGACCCGTTGTTTATGTCGCAACAAGAACCAAAGGTAA